TTTTTCCTTCAAAGGCCTTTGGATTCATCGCCATGTTTGTGTTCATTGGAGATGCTGTTGTGGAATTCTTAAAAATTACTGGAAAGACGCAAGTTCAAATCGCTTCCTAAAGATGCAATTTTTTTATCCTTGGACCACCCTAAAGTCGTTTAATGCTTTCTTATCTCCTCAATTTATTTCTTCGTCGATAATATCTCACTCTGCAGTGAACTCTGGTCGGTCCAGATGTAACAAATGTAACAAGAGCGATTATGAAAAGGTTTTCAAGGTGTCCAAGGAGGTATCAAGATCACAGTTTCTGGATGACTCAAATCTTCATTCCTACTTATAGTGGTGAGAGCCGGATATCCTCTCTTATAATCCAACAAAAATTTTTGCCCGCGTGCAATTGGTCAAAACGCATTATGTGACCGAAAATCCTTTAACTAAAACTCAGGGAAATCTGAGGATATACCCCTAGCCCATTCTCCCCATTTTCAAACCCTACGTCCAATACAGAAACTTTGCGTTTAAAGTTTGATTCAAGGGAAAGCGTTGTGTTACAGAAGAAACATGCGTTGAAAAATATCTGGAGGATGATAAACACAATAGCTCCCTTTAGCACGAACTTTGCTCGTAGAAAAGGACATGAACTGTTCTTCAAAGTTCACAGTTTTCTTCGAGCTTTGCTCTTGGAAAATAGTTTGCATCTCGAAACAGGTAACGTCAATCAATATCCGTGCATAGCTTCGCGCCAAATGGAGGCTATCGTTTAATTATCATGATACAGCTTCCAACTGTACAGTTGACTGTTGAGAATAAAGGAAATTGTCACCCAAAACAAAAAAAACAAAAAACGGTAAAGAAAGCAAGAGATTCGTGCTGAAAGACTGCTTATAGGAGATAAAGAAAATAAAATAAGGAAAGACTATGTAATTTAGTCGATCATATGTCACTATGTATATCTAGCGAGAGATTCCCATTCCTTTGTTTTGCCTGCTTGTGATCTTTCTTATCTCTCTGCAGTTACAGAATAAAAGCTAGCGATAAAAATGTTTCGATCTCTCTGAGATGATTTTCAAGTTGTAGAAAAAGCAAATGAAATATACATATCTAAGTACAAATCAGGACGTGACAATTTCCAACGATAAGATACGTAAATACCAGCTCTAAAATGTAAGTAAGAAAATAATAAAATATTAAACTTTAAAAATAACTTTGCACGGATCGAATCAGACTGTTTGTTCAAAATTGGCTTAAGCTCCTATATAAAGAGCATTTCGTAGATCAGGCAAAGT